ACATTTCTATCAAATCAACCATTCAAATAAAACAAATAAAAACTAGTTTTATTGGAAAATACTTCGATCAACAATTGTTGATCGAAGGGAAAATAGTTGACACCTAACATCTAGTATTAGAGGTCAATATTGAAATGACGGAAAGGTCAATGACACCGCGGAGGTTAATGTGACCTTTGCTTAGGTTGGTGGAAACAAAACAGAGATAATATTGTGCCGGTTGTGACAAGATAAACGATTTCGTTATATGGATAAAATAGTATTTATAATAGAAAAGAAAATAATTAAACTGAAAATTGTTTATTGTCCTAGAAAATGCACAATAATAGAGGTACATTCACATAAATGCGGTAATTACGAAAGATACTGATACTGCTTTCTTGATACTGATAAGCTTGTATTTTGGAAAACAGTGATTCATAGTTTTTCTAGATCTACAAAAATAGCATCACATCGGTAGCGATGTGATTTATCCTAGAGTTCTTTGTTCATACTGCCTCGTTGGCCGAGTGGTCGCAAGTGCGACTACCGGGCAAGGGGTCTCGGGTTCGATTCCCGGGTCGTAAAGTATTACTGGGTTTTTAAAAATCTCAGTAGTAGCACGGAGTCTGGAAATGAGCCCGATATATGGTAATAGGCTCACCCCCTATTACATGGGACTCGTAACATAAATAGTGAAAAGTGGGTGTTACATTGTACAGTGGCATTAAATGCCGTAATGTGTACCTCTGCCTACCTCTTCGAGGATAAAAAGGCGTGATGTTATGTTATGTTCTTTGCTAAGTAGTGCTTCAGAGAACCCAGTACATCAAAAAAGTGTCAACTACTCTTATACCCAGCTCATTCAGAAACGCAACAATATTACGTAATATTACAGCCTAAGAACAATAAAATAGACAATAAACACAAATACCTGGTTCTCCGACCATGCATTACCGATAATATACGAATCTATGAAGTATTTACATGTATTTGTGACAGGCTATATCTGTGCTAAGGTCAGCAGCTCGTCTTCAAACACCGGTCGACCCTCAGTTTGTTATGCATTATATTAAGTTGGTAAAGATATGTTCAAGATGGGAGAATAGGTCACATATGAGTTTTGTATGGCATAGGGCCGCAAGTGATCAGACCGCGCCAATTGCAAGTGCGTTGTCGAGATTTGAGATTGAGGAATTTAGGAGATTAGTATTGGGAACATGAGTTTTGGGCATCCTGTAACCTCACTCACGTGGCAGAAGGAAAAAAGAGACAGCTATGAACAAAAAACATTTATTTGGCCATTGGCACACAAAACAAAGATTATAAAAAAAATACAGATACTTACATAAATACCTACAAAATATTAATAATAAACTTAAAAGAGTAAAGAAAAGAACAAAAATCATAAAAGTATAACAAAATGATGTACAATACGTTTTTTTATAATAATAAGAGAATTTAAAAATACAAATAAAATAATAATATTTTAGTGCGCGTGCTCATGTCAAAAGGGCCTCCACCAAAGCATATAGTTGAGCGTTCCTGCCCAACGCTGGTTTTCAGGTGGCACCCTGCAGCGACTCACGGACCGCGGTATCGCCCCTCAATAAGAAAAAGAACATATGTATTATGTAGAAAAAAAAAACAAAACGCAATCGTTGTTTCACGCCGATGTTCCACGTTTAGCGTGTTTAGCGTGAGCATCTAAACTTTTCTGTTAGGTCTTCTTACACATAGGTTGGCAATAACCAAAATGTAAATGATGCCTATCTTGAAAACGTGCACAGGTTCTTTTAATCTAGACGCGTCCTAACCTTACATAAAGGATGATAATGTTGAAGGAAATAACAATTCCTATGACTATAACAGTGAGTGACATCGTGGTCGGTAATGGGCTAATTGCTTGTCACCTTTGATTGACTTGTCAAGGTGGAACACTGGGGAATCCCGCGACCTTTACTGCGGAAAGGAGGTAAAATAAAAACATAATGCCTATTATTATTATTATTGACGCTTTAGAACTATAGTGACGGTCGACTATAATACAAATATTTTACCAGTCTTATTTCCTCGAGTGGGTGTCGTGAAACCTGACTAAGGGATTGCGTATTTACTGGAGACCTATCAGCAATGCTCTTTGATACTCCTGAGCCTTTTGGACTGTGATCTCCAACCGCCTGTCAAGAGGGTAGGTAGAGGTTGGTACTCGTTGAAAAAATAAGGAATTTAATTATTATGTTTTCTGCTTCCCCACATAACTGTGTGATGAGGAACTCGACTAGTTCCAAGTCATACTAGTAGCAATCACTATAGCAGCGCGACAGTCGCCGCGTCGCGGCCGTGGAATGCTGCTCATGAATATGAGCCCATTGTATGGCTTGAAACTAATCGAGTCCCTCCTCAAATAGTTACGTGATTACATAATCATTTATTTAGTATGTCTCATGAATAAGTTTTAATATAAATAAGAATTTTTTAAAGTAACTATCTTACAATGTTTATAATAGAATGCAAAGAAGTAATTTTATCGGTATACTAAAGGTAATTGGAATTGGAATAAAAGGAATTGGCTCACCCCCTATTACATGGGACTCATAACATAAATAGTGAAAAGTGAGTGTTACATTGTACAGTGGCATAATGTACACCTCTGCCTACCCCTTCGGGGATAAAAGGCGTGATGTTATGTTATGCTATGTTATGTTACTAAAGGCAATAGAGCGTGAAAATTTTTGATGATAACTTACATAAACTGATTAATTCACACGTTAGCTGCCGTTAGCGATGGATTTGCCTTCAACAGTTTACTATTGATAAATCATCAAAAATGAAATCTCGAAATAGGGACACCCAAACAAAACCACACCAATTTCCCTCGACCCTCAAAACCATGACCTAGTACCATATTCCAAAACGAATTCAAACCAAAATTGTACTTAGAATACTAATTCAAAAACAGAACAAGAACAAAAAGGTGTTAACAGCCAAGAAAAATAAATATGTAAATATATTTTTTTGTATGGCAACAATGTGTGGCCTTTACGAATTATGACATATTACGTATGACAGATTGTCAGTGTCAGGCAGAAGGTCGTGTATTGTCTAATTAGAGTCTCACACACATACAAATACTTATTTGTATCGATGTTTATGTAGACACGGCTCATCTAGCTATACAAACCACTATACACAGATCTTCTAGTGTGCGGAAAGATTATAGAAAACAAGACCATGGTAAAATGGTTTTGTATAACTTGATTGGCAGTCAGGTTGGTAATACAAGGTTCGGTAACAAGGTTTATTAAGTATTGTATTTTTGGAATATCGGGTAGAAATATAATATTTTGTCTGTAATTTCTTGACGGGACAGCCATATTGGAAAAAGTAGGCAATTAATTAGGCCTCCGGTAACCCCACTTCTAAAATAACCATAAAGAGTAATAATAATGCAAATAATAATACGTTCCTTTATGCTGTGATATTTAAATAAATAAATCAACAACTGATACTGGTTATATTATGTACGGAAGAGTTTTATAAAATATTCATACGGCTACCATATTGTTCTGAGATCCTCCCACACTTGGAGTCAAGTATCTTCTCATAACAAAACAGTTATTAACATGAATAATATCATAATAATGTAGTGGCTCCGAGGTAAGACGCGCTTCTCATGCATGAGGGTGCGGCTTCGAAACCTACCAACAGCAAGAACCAACGTAACGTATTTGGAGTTATACGTACTTCCGAAGATTATTTAGTCACCACTATCAAACAATAAAAGAAAACATCTTGAGAAAACCTGGGCCTATAATTTCTTATTATAAGTTTGAAATCGCCAACCCGCAATGAGCAAGCGTGGTGATTAATGCTCAAACCTTCTCCGTGTAAGAAGAGTTCATTGCTCATCAGTAGCCACTTAAAGGTTGTGATGTGTGATGTGAAATTATAAAAAATACCATAATCATCACGCCTTTTATCGCCGATGGGGAAGGCATACGTGCACATTACAGCACTTAATGCCACTGTACAGTCTAACACCCACTTTTCACTATATATGTTATGAGTCCCATTTAATAGGGAGTGAGCGTATTTCCATGTATTGGTCACAATTCCAGACTCTGTGCTACTTCTGAGATTTTTTTTAAAACTCCAACAATACTTTGCCCCACCCGGCCTAACAGTCGTACTTGCGACCACTAGACTAACGAGGCAGTAGTATAATACTACATCTTTTAATCTTGATTCTTCACATCTTTTAATAAACTTCATTAGTTAATAAGCCTGCCACGTTGGCCGAATGGTCGCAAGTGCAACTGCCGAGCAAGGGGTCTCGGGTTCGATACCCGGGTCAGGCAAAGTATTACTAGGTTTTTTAAAAAAAATCTCAGTAGTAGCGCGGAGTCTGGAAATGTGCCCGGTATATAGGCTCACCCCCTATTAAATATAGCATAACATAAATAGTGAAAAGTGGGTGTTACTTCTGTGTGCACCTCTGCCTACTCCTTCGGGGATAAAAAGGCGTGATGTTATGTTATGTTTACAGTTAATAAGCCCTATATCGAAAGAAAATCTTCCTGTACTGTAAATTTAAACTGTGATAACTATATTTATTTCAATTAATCCTTAATTAGCACTTTTGAAATGCCAAAATTGAATTTTCCGTCAGTTTGACTGTCAGTGAAGCTAGGTGCTTGTTTCAAAGAGGGAATTCGACGTGTTAAGAGTATCGTTCAAAACATGGCACTAATTCAGGTTTCGTAAATTCTAAAACTGAAAACTGAATAACACCGTCCAATTATCAAACCCGACTATAGAGGTAGGCCTTAAACAGCTCAAATAATATTTCCCGAATGCCTCGGTTTTTTAATTAGTAAAACTATATTAAAAACTTATCCTAGGTACACTAAAAAAATCAGTACACCTGTTCTATGGAATGGATCAAGGAAATAGAGAGAATCGTTTACTTTTTTTATACATACCAACTACACAGATTAACATAAATATTTCAAACTCACCGTATTTACTCTGTTGATTCACAGCCAAACTGCAATAAAAAAAACAAAACATTAATATTCATGGCGTTCATTGAATAATAATTTGTATAATTAGTTACATAAGGTATGTTGTTGTTTGTACATTTTTGCATAATGCACTACTGTTTATGGGAATGGCGGCAACTGCGACTTAGAATGACTTTAGTTACGAATTAATGCCTACACATGTTAATAAAATAAGTTTATCATAATTACTATCTATTTCCGCGCAGTTACACCCGCTATTCGGTACCTATTAGTCATAGCGTGATGTTTTTTAGCCTATCCCTAAATGTTATTCGAAACAAACATAAAACTAATGCTCGAACAAACAAGTATACTCTTCAACCTCATATATCGAAAGTATGCATTATTATGTGTTTTATAAATTTATTAGTAACTAGCTTCTGCCCGCGACTTCGTACGCGTAATCCTATTTTTTCCCGTCCCCGTTCGTGATTTTCGGTAAAAAGTAAAAAAAAAATTTGGTCAAAAAGTATCCTATGTCGGTCTCCTGGCTCTAAGCTACCTCCATACCAATTTTCAGCCAAATCTGTTCTGCCGTTCTTGAGTTATAAGTGGTGTAACTAACACGACTTTCTTTTATATATATAGATATAATACGAGTCTGATGTTGTTCTACCCACTGATGTGGGGAATAAAAGGTATGATGATACTTTTCGGTATTTTTTATAAAGGAATTATAGACTGCCTCGTTGGCCGAGTGGTTGCAAGTGCGACTACCGGGCAAGTGGTCTCGGGTTCGATTCCCGGGTCGGGCAAAGTATTACTAAGTTTTTAAAAAAAATCTCAATATTAACACGGAGTCTGGAATTGTGCCCGGTATATGGCAATAGGCTCACCCCCTATTACATAGGACTCATAACATAAATAGTGGAAAGTGGGTGTTACATTGTACAGTGGCATAATGTGCACCTCTGCCTACCTCTTCGGGGATAAAAGGCGTGATGTTATGTATGTGAATCTGTATAGTAAAATTAAGCTTATATTTTTGGTTTTGCATTTTTAAAAGCGACGATTTTTCAGACACTCTGCAAATGTGACTTAGAAATTTTGACATTGATGTTTTGTTGCAGTGACAATGGACACTTGAAAAAACGATTAACGTTTCAGTTTAGTTTACTACTTCACACATTGTTATCAAAATAACAAACGGAATGTTTAAAACAAGCATTAGATGTTGATATTTTTATTTTAGAACTAGTATTTACGTTACAATTTAACCTTGTTCAATAAATTGATCCAAATGGAAACACCACAAGATCACGCGACACTATAAATAGATACACTTGATAATGTTCGTATGTATGTTCAGTTTAGCAAACACAAAATAATGATGATATCCTTACTAATTTTGTCGAACCTAACGGGTTACCGGGGCTCCGGCTCGACGTGCAGGAGAAGGAACGGGGTGGTTTTTAATCAGTAAGAGTCTGATACTCCCTCCCGCCTCACCCAGGCGGGAGCAGTCATTCGATGATTTTCCCCTCTTAAGAAATCCTTATTAATTTTATAAATGCGCAAATGTTTTTGGTTGTCTTTCTTCTACGTGGCCAGCGACAGTGCGATTTTGTATCTGGAGATGGTTTAAAACTGGAGACAAGGTAATATAGATTTCTTATTTTCTTATCACTGTGCGGTGGAACCCGTAGATTTAAAGAGTAGAAGACCTATGGATCGGCACGAATGAGCTGGCTTGATCGAAGTGACACCACGGCCTTATTGAAAACCGCCGTGAAGCAACGTTTGCGGCGTGTTGTTCCCTCCCCAACTCCTAATCCCCAAAAGGCCGGTATAGCACTTGTAACGCCTCTGATGTTCCAGGTGTCCATTGGCGACGCCGGTTGCTTACCATCAGGTGATTCGTCTACTAGTTTACCGGCTTACCCTATAAAAAAAGAACTTTTACAGCTCATTAATTTTTTTTATACATGTAGGTATTGTCCTTAACTCAGGACGGTATCATTATAATGTCTACCTATATTGGTATTAGTTGCAGAATTACCACAGGTGTTAAATATTTATTACGTGGTATTTATTTATTATGCATAGTTGCAGCATATTACGTCTTTGTTCTTATGTCTGTAATATGCATATTAATGTTTGATGTACCTACCTAGCTACATCAATATACAATATTAGAGATTGCTGTTCCCACAGGTCGTGGTATTTAGGTATATCTAAACTTTCTTATTTGTCTGCCAAGAGCGGAGATTATGACAAACCTTCTGGTCTAGAGAAGATCCTTAATTGAACCTGATTGGAAAATAGTAACCTATGGAGTTTCTTGCGCGTTCTTCTCCATAGGAATCTACTGGTGTAGATTCCGAAAGTGAAGAGATTGATCATTACGAATGATCAATAGCTTCACTTTAAATTTTATGTTGACGTTCAAAAGTGCCTTTCTGGTCTCATTGAAGTAAATAATTTTGACTTTGACTTTGAGTTCAGTAATGTGTCAGAGTATAATTTTCCGGTAGACTCACTCATGTTACAACCGACTGAATTCCAATCATTCCATGGCATAATTTTCATGTTGCCATACTAAATAATTCCTTATAATAAAATAAATTTTTCATATCACATCGTTAGGGGCTCGTTTTACCCGAAATTGGTTGAAAAAGTACGAAATAGGAGCTCGTTATAGGGGACATAAATATACTGCGACGTTTTAATGGAGTGTCAATGAACCCCGTATTTTTATCCTTTGACAAATATTCACGGATACTTTATACTGCCTACTTTTATATGCGTACTTTTTTTTAATAAGGGCAACTTATTTAAAAGGAGAAATAAAAGAACGATAATTTTCTTATGCTATAATAATAATTTGGTCGTCTTTTTACTGATCAATTCTGATGTTTCATTATAGAACTAGCACTATTGCAATCCCATGTGGTAAATACCTTTTTATAAGTGAGAAGATGAATATATATATACATATATCTAGTAGGTTATAATAATGGTGTACCTTTTTAGATAATAAAAGGTGTGATCATATTAATTAATATTAATAAAAATATTTTGGATTTGTTGGACGGAGTGGTGTGGTCGCAAGTGCGACTACCGGGCAAAGTACTACTGGGTTTTAAAAAAATCTCAGTGGCAGCACAGAGTCTGGATTTGTGCCCGGTATATGGCAATAGGCTCACCCCTATTACATGGGACTCATAACATAAATTGTGAAAAGTGGCATAATGTACACCTCTGTCTATCCTTTCGGGGAAAAAGTCATGGTTTTATATTTATTTTGGATAAAATAAATGCAATAAATATATTGTTTTCAAGATAAAAGTCTATGAATGTATCAGTTTTCTTTATAACAATAGACGTTGAATGAACTCGTTAATTATAACAGCAGATAAAGATTATTTTTCCAAGAAAATATGGGAGCAGTTAATCATTTTATGGTCTGACTTTATAGAATTCGTTCAGTGACTTCGTATTTGGCTGCCGAAGGATCGATCTCAATTTTTTTTCTAAACAGTGCCTTTAGCCAAACGCCACTTTAGCGCAAGAGAGTAGAAATCAAAATGTATGGGGATGACACTGACAGGTGTCAAAATTTACGTCAATTCCATATAATTTAGTTTTCTACGTAACATCACGCCTTTTATCCCCGAAGGGGTAGGCAGAGGTGCACACAAAAGTAACACCCACTTTTCACTATTTATGTTATGAGTCCCATGTAATAGGGGGTGAGCCTACTGCCACAATTATACCGGGCACAATTCCAGACTCCGTGCTACTACTGAGGATTTTTTTTTAAAACTCAGTAATACTTTGCCCGACCCGGGAATCGAACCCGAGACCCCTTGCCCTTGCGGCACTTGCGGCCACTCGGCCAATGAGGCAAAGGCAATGAGTTTAGTTTTCTATTCTACATGTAAACAAGTACTAAATGGCATTTAGCTACAGCTGCAGGATCGAACCAAGAAAAATATAGGTTCTTATAGCTGCGTCGTAAATAAGAAATCACAACACTGATTAATATTCTTTATAACAAGGGAATCAATATTCAATGACACCACGTGTAAGTCATTATATTGTAAAATGATTAAATCGTCGATTATATAGGAATACTTATATAGAGGTACAATGATGATTGATTTTTATAGGAGGTAGAAAATATAGCTATGCCTTAGGGTACCCAGGTAATGATGTTTAGTTTAAGTTAAAAACAATATGATGCGCACTGTCATAGACAAAGTTTCTATAGTTAAAACAAACTGCCTCGTTGGCTGAATGGTCGCAAGTGCGACTGCCGGGCAAGGGGCCTCGTGTTCGATTCCCGGGTCGGGCAAAATAATACTGAGTTAAAAAAAATCAGTAGTATCGTGTAATCGTAAGATATACTAAATTAACTAAAAATCGCGGGTAACTCACGTAAATAGAGGTATACTGAGAAAAGCCCCTAAAAAGGGGAAGAACACCTCTGTGGTTCGAAACTAGTAGAGCTTTCACAATATATTCACGTGAGTCCCCCGCGATGTTTAGTTAACTCAACAATACTATTTACTTATACCCGACCTGGGGATGAAACGCAACACAATTAACTCGTCAATAATCCAGTGTACCATTAATAAATAATAATAATTATGACAATAGTAATAAAACAGAACTATGCCGCGGTGAACGACCCCGTCTATCAATTAGTTGACAATTAATTGAGATGGATATCTTTGTGTAGCTCTTAACCTAACATGCTTGCTGTTATTTGAGTAAATCTATAATATTATACTACCTCAGCACTTTGAGTGACATTATATTGTGTGTTCTGGGCGTTGAAAGGTAAGTTGAGCCTATTCTAGAGGTAGATAAATTTGATTGGATATGTTATGATATATTTCAGACTAGCTTCTACCAGTAGTTTCGCCCGCGTTCCTGTGAAATAAAAAGTGACCTATGTGTTACTCCAGACGTTAATCTACCCCTGTTTCAAATTTCATCTCGATCGCTTCAGCCGTTTTGACGCGGAAGCGTACAAATA